CAATGAGGGTATATTGTTTGACATTATGCTTGGCACATAGCAAACTGTTCAAAACACTTGCTATTGTTATATTTCCTGTGATTATTTTTCAATCATTATTATTACTGCCATTCCCATAAGGCTCTTGATTCTGATGCTATCCGATTAACTTCCTCAGAGTCTCTTTGAACAAGCCTCCGAAATCACCTAATTAAAGTTCAGTTCCAGAATCCTCAACCAGCAGAGTTCATTAACATGTTCTGAATGTGTCTCCTGGGATCTTTCATGTCTTGCCTCCACTGATGAGGCTGAGGTCCCTTCTGAACAGAACATTTAAAATATGTGGCCTTCAGTCTGGTGTTAAGGCAGCAAAGAAACACATATTCAAACTCAAAAGAATCAAAATAAAAGATATAAGGTTTTGAGGGGAGAATACTTCCCAATATTTTATTATCGTAGCTAGAAATATGCTAAATTGCAATGAGGTAGAATCTCAAAGGGTTACTTGCTATTCGGCGTACATTTTTAACGAATGAAGAAAGAGAATTAAGCTGGTATATAGCAGAGAACTAAGCTGATAGGACAAGTAACATTTTTTACACCAATTGCTCTTGTGAACTTTTGTAAATAAGTCAAAAATCAGTGATCGGGACAAATAAGATCGAATTTTTGCCACCTTTCATCCACATCTGATTTTTAAGTGGTGATTCATCCCAGGGATATCAATGGGCAAAATCACACAGCATCTACCCTAAAAGTCCAATGTAAGTATGTTCTCAGCTTACAGGTTCATCAATGTTATATTTTTGTAATTGTACATCATGAAAACATATAATTATATTTTTCTTCATTTCCTAACTAAAAAGTAACTTGTGTTTTCTTAAAATATTCTAACAATATAGACAGATAGCAAGTTAGTCCTGTGTTTCAAACTTCCCCCTCTAGCTTCATAGAAGTTAACAGTTTATTTTTCTAAAACTTTGACTATGCATATAAAAATATTGCTCTACATATTTTTCCTCAAATGGGTCACACATTGCTATTCACAGTTTGCTTTTCTCATATAATAGTGTATCAAAGACATCTTTCCAAATCAGATTGTATAAAGCTTCTCTATTTTTGTTGTCTTTGCAGCATTTTGTAGTTGAGTTTTGCCAAAGTTATGTAGTAATTTTCCTACTTATGGAGACACAAATAATTTCCAAATTTTCTCTATTACAAAGGATGCTAGCATGGATATCTTTGTGAAAAACATCAATACATGATTACCATAGAATGTATGTGGAATTGGGGGTAATAAGATGGAGCTGGACACCAAAGACCAAAAGTTGATTATCAGAAAGTGTAGAAACAAGGACCTTCAGATCACTAGGGAACAAAGCCTCATTCTGTACAGTCCAGTGATTAAGACATTCTTGGTGATGGATCTCTAGTGTTCCAGATAAGGACATGACCTGAGTTGTGGGAAAGAGAGCATACATTTCTTTATTTCAGTGATCTTAGGCTATCAAAGTAACATATTCAGGCTTCTTTATTAAGAAAAACACTAACCTTTCTGGGAAAAGAATATAATGACAATAATCTGGTAGTCTCTTTACTAATTTTGTGCTGTGATTACATCTATAACCCAAGAAAAATGATTCAACCATCCTGACAGCTTCTAGAATATAGGAAGGTAATTGTTGGTTTTTTCCTTTCATTTTTTGGTGTATGAAATGCAGGACTAATGAACCTATAGAGTCAGCAAGCGGTATAAGGGTTTTGATGGAGGGGGACACAGAAGTGGTGGCAAGGTGAAGGGCTATGATGTCAAGCAGTCCATCTAGAAAATGTCTGGAAACTGATTGTGATAGTAAATGCACAATTCTGCTGGATGTGAATGAAGTGTGGAATTATATATGTGTGTGTGTATCCCAATTAATTTTTTAAAGAATGTAGGAAGGGGATCCAAGTGCATATGAACACCTCCTCCATAATTGACAATGAGGGAATTAAAAAGTTTCTAAAATATCCCCCGGAAATCACCAAATGTCTAAAATATCTCTTACCATCAGTGACAGATAGCTCAAGATTCTGAAGACTAGACACAAGAAGTAGTTCTGTGCCCAGACTTTACACATATTTATGAGATGCAATATTCTCCTCACCCTTAATAACAAATAGAACAACAGTGTTTGGTGATAAAACAACACCAACCTTGAAGAAAAAAACTCTCAAAATATAGCCTTTCTGATAGAAACCTGATGCTAAACTCTTTAAATCTGGGCAGAGAACAGTAGCACATGTGACTTGCTGGCCAATCACCTGATGGACAGAAAAAAATGGCAAAATAAATATGTATAATCAATTAACTTCACCTTGGCCTGATTCTTGAAAGTTCCCATTAGTTGCTAGATTTTTTTAAAACTATGAGGAAATGTACAATTTGCGTGCTACATGACCAATAATAAAGGAGGAAATTAGAAAGGAGAAAAAAGACTTTCTTAGTTTGTGTATTTAACAGTTATACACTGTGCCCATGCCATGCTATGTCTTTTTACCACTGCTACTGGGGATAAGTGAATGCATGGAAACCATAAATTGTATGTGCATATACAAAGAGTATAGAACAAATTAAACACTATATTATTGAATAGATAGATATCTGTTCTCTTGCCCTTCCCTTCCTCCTTAGGAACCAATGATCACTTTTAGGAAAGATGGTATGTTCATATAAAAGTGACTACCAGGAGAAGGAAGGAGGAGAAAAGTCCACGTATTGTTAGGTGGTCATTGAAGTAATGTCAATAGTGACAGATTATATTGGATGAAGGTAGTGATAATGTGGCAAAACAAGGAAAATATAATGAATATCATTGAGATGTAAGTATAGAAGTTGTGTTTTCAGATGTGTTGGTGTGTAAGCATTCACCACCATAAAAAAGTGGGGAAAGGCAAAAAAGAAGAAGTGCAGTGGCAATATTCAATGTAAAAATAGATGTACAACTAATATCTTAAACATTGGTGCAGAAGCTATGTGGTTGCTGTTGAATACCATTCAGCCATCTCAGACTCACTGTGGGCCGGCGCATTACAGAACAAACGATTGCGCAGTCCTTCACAATTATTGCTATGTTTGACTCCGTTGTTACAGCCATTTTACCAATACACAAATGCATTTTGATCAACCTGCCCCGGAGGCACTGACCCTTTCCTTTACCAAGCATGATTTATTCTCCGGGGACTGGCCTTTCCTCTTAATATATCCAAAAATTGCATGTTTTTGAAACTTGATTCCAGGAGCATTCTAGATGTGCTTCCCTTAAGATAAAGCTGTTCATTCCTCTGTAGTCCATGGTAAATTCAATATTCTTCACCAACACCATATTTCAAGTGCACCAATGCATAAAAGTGCATAATAAGCCTGAAAATTACCCATAGAAGAAGTTCTTCTACCTACAGGGGGAGTATAACCACTAATATGACAGAGGATATTTGTATAAATAATTAACTTTGCTGTAAATGTAACCATAGATGTAGTGAAGCATACATGCACCAAAATCATGAAAACATCTTAAACATAACCAAACACCTTGAGGAAATGAGTGGAAAGGCCTGAGATATCAGGACTATATGCTCATGGGACACCAATGTCAATTGGCAGAAAGTAGTTCACAAAAACCATGCTCTACATCTACTGGGGTCTTAAATGTTCCTGAAGAGTCATTTAAGGTACAATGATCATTCTCTTGTCACTCAAAGGAAAGGGTAATAATGAACATCTAAAGACATATGGAAACATGTAGCGCAATGGGCTAATGAACCATACAAATATCAGTTTCCACAATCTTGAGAATAGAACTATATGGTACCTGGTTACCACTACCAGTGATCTTGAAAAGGATTACATTGAAAGTGCTGGATCGGTGTTTTCGTTCAGTGCTATCAAGTGGGTTCTGGCACGTAACAACCTTATGTAACACAGAAGGAAACACTGCACAGCCATGCACCCGCCTCGTAATTGTGATGTTTGAGCCCATTGTTGCAGCCGCTATGTCAATCCATCTCATCCCTTTCCCTCTTCCCTTCTACTTTACCAAGTTTGGAGCCTTTTTCTAAGGACTGGTCTCTCCTGATAATATGTCCAAAGTACGGAAGATGAAGTTTCGCCATCCTCCATTCTAAGTACCGTAATATTCAAGCTGTACTTCTTCCAAGATAGATGTGTTCGTTCTACGGGCAGTCCATAGTAATTTCAATAGTTTTCATCAGCACAATTCAAATTCACCAATTCTCCGTCAATCTTCCTTATTCAATATCCAATTTTCACATGCCTATGAGGTGATTGAAAATACCATGCTTCAGTCAGGCAAACCTTAGCCCACTAGTTACTACAAAGAATGGGAAGAAAATGTAGAATAAAGCCTAAACTTGTAGAATAGATCAGGTGTGTTGATCAGAGTGAGACTATAGAAGCCCCCAAACTCTGGCTTTTAGTCAACCTTCAGGTCTGGAACTCAACTCACTCTATGTTGGAATAATCAAAAATTTAATATCTAAAGGGTAGCATTTATCCAAGGACTAAGTACAGTGGGGTGGGTAAAAGGCGAGGTAGAAACAAGAAACTCAGGAGGAAGTAGGATAAGTGATGGTACATTGAAGGAATGAATTGTAAAAAAATGTGCGTTAATTGCTGAGTGTGAACCTGATAATGTGCTCTGTAAACCTTTACCTAATTCACAATGGAGTTAAAAGAAGAAAAAGGTAATCTTTCTACCACGAAATTATAGAAAATCGATCTTTTGACAACCAGCCCAATAAAAAAAGAAAATCAATTTGAGTCAGATTGACAAAAGGGAAAGCTCTTGAATCAATTCAATGGGAAAAACTTGTAGCTGTGATTTGGTGTCATCTAATCAGTCACACTCAATCCTACCTTATTTACCAGAACAAATACATTAGCCTCTTCTTAATGTTTCTGAGCCTCCCTCCCCTCTGATCACTGATTTATTTCTTCTGTACCCTCACAGGCCCAAATATTGGCCATGAAAAACAAAACACATCTGACAGAATTCATCCTGGTGGGACTAACAGATATCCCAGAGCTTCAGACTGTAATTTTTTTATTTATTTTTCTTACATATATATTTAGCATCTTCGGTAATCTGACAATAATCACTCTCACTTTACTGGACTCCCATCTCCAGACCCCCATGTATTTCTTCCTCAGGAATTTCTCCTTCTTGGAAATTTCCTTTACAACCACGTTTACTCCTAGGCTGCTGTTCAGCATCTCGACTGGGAATAAGGCCATCAGTTTCGCTGGATGCTTCTCTCAATATTTCTTTGCCATATTTCTCGGGGCAACAGAGTTTTACCTTCTGGCTGCCATGTCTTATGATCGCTATGTAGCCATCTGCAAACCCCTACATTACACAACCATCATGAACAACAGAGTCTGTATCCTCATGGTTCTCTGCTCTTGGCTCGGTGGGTTCCTCATCATTTTATACCCAATCATCCAGACCAGTCAGTTGGATTTCTGTGCCTCTAATGTGTTGAATCATTATTATTGTGACTCTGGACCACTCATAGAAATATCTTGCTCAGACACAAGACTCCTGGAAATCATTGACTTTATCTTAGCAATTGTAACCTTGGTTGTCACCCTGGTGCTGGTGATTCTCTCCTACACAAATATCATCAGGACCATTCTGAAGATCCCCTCTGCCCAGCAAAGGACAAAGGCTTTTTCCACATGTTCCTCCCACGTGATTGTCATCTCTCTCTCTTATGGAAGCTGCATCTTCATGTACATTAAACCTTCAGCAAAAGAAGGAGTTGCCTTCAGTAAGGGAGTCGCTGTGCTCAATACATCAGTGGCCCCTTTACTGAACCCCTTCATTTACACTTTAAGAAATAAACAAGTAAAACAAGCTTTCAGGGAAGTAGTCAGAAAGATTATAAGTGATTCTTAAATGAATTCAAAGAAAACTCTGAAGAATATTCATAAAGTTTTTCCCACAAAAACTTAAGGAGGGCTTCTCTAAACTTTACCTTGTTAAACATTATCTCAGATGAATTTTCAGGAGGAGATATCAGAGCTATATTTCAGACTTGCTAACAGGAGGAAACTCATGGAAAAAATTATTTTAAAAAATACGCAATTCAAATATTCCTTTTTAATTTATAGACTTTAATATTTTTAAATGGTCGCTAAATAATGTTGATAATCTGATTCTATGAAAGAAATATCTGGTAAAAATCAGTAGGGTTGTCACAAGTGATGTCCAGCTGAGCTTGCTATTAAAGTTTAGATTTACAAGTCAATTCACAACTCATAGTATCCTTAGGTTTACTTGAAGAGCTGTTAATTTTTATCACACCGTAAGAAAGTTGTTCAAGTATTTTATCAGAAATACTACACATGTATAAGGCACCCAAAAAAAGAAAATTAAACTACTTCACTTCTCAGTCTTTGGGCTAAGATCAAGTGAAGAAAATTAAACTAGAAACAAGAAAATTGACATGGACTCAACTTTCATGACATCATCATGACTCATGACATCATCATGACAGCAGAGTACAACTGCTCCAGTGGGTTTTCAAGACTGTGACCTTTCATGAGAAGGTCACCTCCATTGCTTAACCATTGGCACCATCCAGAGAGTCGGACACATACAGGAAGGAACTAGTACTTGCCTCTTACAATGAAGCTATGTCCCAGACCATCTGATCTCAGGTTTGAAACATACTATAACTTGTGTTTTTAAGTTAGTACCAAAAGGGATTTTTGTTGTAGAATTTAAAGAGCCCTGGTAGCATAGTGATTAAGCATTGGACTGATAATGTCACGGTCAGCTGTTAAAAAACACCAGCAGCTCCATGGGAGAAAGATGGGGCTTTCTACACCTGTAAAGATTTACAGTTTGGAAAATTGACAGGGGCAGTTCTACCCTG